GTCTGTGGGGCAGTGGGCCACAGCAGGCAGGTCCCACTCTGCACGGCTCGAGATATGCGAGCCATGGCGTTTCTGACTCTCAGAGGTCTCTTGGCTGTGGCCATAACGAGGCTGCCATTAGGGGTTCTGCGTGGTGAGCGGCAGCGAGGCACATCCCAAGGGGCTCCCAGCCCCTTGCTCCCTTCCCCCACACACAGTGGGAACAGTGACCGAGCCAGGTCAGGCTGACTGTGTGGTCAGGATCCCCGGGCGCCTGGTGAGGAGCAGGAAAAACAACTGACCCGTCCTGCCGGGACAAGCGTGGCAGCCAGCAGCTCGGCTGCACCGGGCAGGGGCTGGGAGGAGGCAGGAAAAGCGGCTGTCACGGGTGGGTGGCACAGCGCAGTGCTGCCCACCGAGCTCTCAGATACTCCCTCAAAACATTTGTGCTGTTTTCCTCAGCTTCCCTGAGCCCAGCCCTGTCTGAGCTTGGGACAGGACCTGTGTGGTGCCCCTGTGGCTCAGCCCCATTATAACCCAGGCCTCAGCAGCCCAGGTTTATAAGGGCACAGCCGTTTCTCTAGCGAGCAGGGACGGCAGGGCCTGACAGGAGATTTGGGGAAGCAGGAGGACAAAAGGAGAGGTGATCACGGGAGAGGCAAAGAAACGGAAAGTGGCTAGCTGGAAAGCAGCCAGACCTAGAAACTCGGGACTATGGACTGCAAACTTCCAGCACGGCATCTCTGCCTGCGGGGCCCAAACATTGGGCCCTGTGGGGCATTGAGCAGGAGCCTGTGACTGCCCAGCCAAGCTAAGCTGCCAGGTTGCTCTCTGCCAGCTTCGGTTTGGGCAGATGGCCCTCTTGCACATAAAGCCCAGGCAGGAGTAATGTGCTGGGGACTACTCCCCAAAACCAGTTTGAATTTGGCCACCCTGTTTTCGAGGGGAAAAGAACATCCATCCACTAGGGCTGATCAATCCATCCAGCATGCACTGCTGGCTTTTTGGGATGGCGAATGGTCCTTGGTCTGTTTTATTTACTAGTACAGATAGAGCCAGCCTGCACTAAGCCACGGCTGCTCTCAGCGTATCCTCAGGGAGGGCTGGAGGCACCAGTCCGACATCCTGCACGGGCCCTAGGGAGCAGCTCTGGACACGGGTGCCTGATGGCTCTGCAGCCCAGTCAGCTGCTGCTGCTGCTGTCCGCCCTCACAGCGGGCAGGGGTCTGTCTGCTTCCCTGCCCCAGCTGGGAGGATGCCCTTGTGTCACACAAGAGCTCCCCGAGGGCTGGAGGTGGAGAGCTAGGGGAGGAAGAGAAAGGTGTTCTGCAAGCTGAATCCAGATGGCAACTGTCCTGGAAGGGATATGGGAGGGTGACATCCTGGTCCCTTTGCACCCACCCCCTTTATGTGGGTTTCTCCCCAGCTCTTTGTGTTTCTCCTTCACTTCTTCAGTTAGCTGCTCTCAGTCCTGGGCTGTCCTGGGCTGTCCTGCTTGTCTTTCCCCATTTATCCTCGCCCACACCAAACTGGCAGCTCCTGACAGTGAGTTTTACACCTATTTGTGTCTTTGCTGTTTTAAATTGTGCACAGGTAATTAATTAAGACATCTGAACTCATGCGGAGTCTCAGTCTAGAGATCCTCCCCAGCATGGAGAGCCTATCTCAGACAGCATCTCTTTTTCCCAGGGATGGGCCAACTGCAAGGGAAAGAACCTCCTGCACGCTCCAAGCTCCCTTCCAAGCAACATCACTGGAGTGGACCTCTCCTTCAACTCCTTGGTTATGCCCCATCGTGGGACTCTCTTGATGCATTTCCCTTCCCTGCGCTCCCTCAACCTCTCCAGCAATGCCCTGCAGGTGCTGAGCCCAGCAGTTTTCTCCAACCTTGGGGCACTGCGTCTGCTGGACCTGAGCAGCTGCAGTATCGCCTACCTCCACATGGATGCTTTCAAGGGCTTGGGAAACTTGCACACACTGCTTCTAAGAAATAACAATCTGCAAGAGCTTGAGGTCCCGGTCTTCCTACCACTGAAGGCTCTTTTCCACCTGGACCTGCAGCACAACACGCTAGTCTCTGTGGACACTTTGAGCCTGCAGCTGATGGAGTCAGTCCCACAGGTCCAGCTGGAAGGCAACCCCTGGGTCTGCAACTGCACCGCTCACCCTCTGCGCCGGTGGCTGCGGCGCAGGCAAGGTGAGCGGGCAGCAGCAGGTGGCAGGAGAGGTGTTGGGCAGGAGGAGCCCTGGGTGCAGGAGTCCTGCTAGATCCTTTTGCTCCACCCCCGGGGCAGGCTCTGGGATGGCTTTCCAGGGATCTCTCCCACACTGTTGAGGGACACAGAACCAAAATGTGTCAGTTCTTTGCTTGCAGTTACATGATACCAAAGATTACAAGGGACAACAGACAGGGTAATTTAGCTACTCTTCTGGGAAAGGGGCTGCATGTACAGTTCAGCCCCTAAATCCACCTTTATGTGTCTATATGGAGTGACCACGTTTTCAAGAGCTGCTGAGCACTCAGCAGCTCCTCCTGTGGAGGAGGATCAGGCTCCAACCCTCTGAGCTTGGCTCCCAGGTGAGAGCAGCCCTGCAACAGTGGGGTTTCTATCAGTATCCATGAATTTGGCATTATCCAGTTAAAAGGAGCCTCCTAATCATGGTCATACACTTGCATAGTTCCTTAGTCAGGGAATTTTTTCTGTGCTTGTGCTTTTCAATGTGCTGAGGGCTGGCGAGGCTGGAGGGCAGAGCCAGGAGCACCTTGCAATGTGTCCCATCAACCCAGGAGCAAGCAGGAAGCACCTTCTCTAAACTGGGGAGGGGATGGAGAAAGAACCCCCCCATCCCACCTTATTCTGTGTCTCCCAGATGTGCAGGTGACCTGTGCATCACCCCCGGGGCTGCGGGGCCGGGAGATTGCTGCTCTGGATTCCCAGGATCTGGGCTGCCAGATGAAGCTGCGGTTTCCTCGGGCTGTCAGCACGGCACAGCAGATCACAGTGACACACAGCAACAGTAAGTTGTGCAGCTACGGGGGCATCCATAAGGTCTAGCTCCCTCCTGGTTCTGTCACCCCAGAGGGGACCACAGCTGGAGACCCTCAGCTCTGCCACCCAGTCCCAGGGGCTCTGGCTGCCTGGCAGTGGCTCGGTGGGGAGGGTGGCCACCACCTGGAGGTGTTTGCTGGCTTTGCAACAAAGGAATTAGCAGATGCCACAGGGCCACACAGAACACAGGCTCCACAGTGATGGGCACCAGTATCAGACGGCCACCTGTCAGTTTTTCCCACAGTGTTCACACAGCCTTGGTAGCCAGCCCTTGGTGAAGAGCATTTATATTGCTCCTAACAAAGCAATCCAGTGCTGGCTGCACACCGCAGGCAGGCACGGGGCTGGCTGCTGAGGAGCACCAGGTATGCCACAGGCTGACATGTCATTCCCTGACGTTTCTTTCCTGCACCACAGCCACCACACCACCCGCTGGGAAGGGGGGAAGGAGCTGGCCGTACCTGGTGGGCTTCCTGGTGGCAGCAATCGGCATCTCCATCCTCATCGCACTGGCTGCCAAGTGCAAGCTCTTCCACAAGAACTTTGCCAGCTACCGCCACCGACCGCTGCCTGAAACCAGCTCGATCGGAGACAGCCCCATGGAGGATGGCAGCGGCTGGGGCAGGGGGCCCCCCGGCCCGAGGGGGCGGGGGGGTTTTTCACCCCATGCCTGGTGCTGCTGACCTGCAAGCTGAGGATGACGATGGCTTCATCGAGGACAATTACATCCAGCCAAGTGAGCAGCTGCCAGAGGCAGAGGAGCGGGAGTCACACCTCTCCATCTGAGCCTGCAGCCCAGCCACCACTGCTGCGGCCTCCCGCCGCCCCCCTGCTTTCATCCCCTTCCTGCCCATTCTCACCTGCCCTTGGATTTTGGGCCCACACGGCTGTGGGCAGGACAGAAGGAGCTGAGAGGAGAGGGGAGAAGGGGTGGGCTGGGAATGGTGATGGAGGCTGAAGGCAGCTGGCCTCACAGTGCCCAGCATGACACCAGCAGGGCTGCACCAGCACAGGGTCACTGGACCCACTGCTGCTCTCCGGGCCCTGCTTGGGTGCTGAGGAGGAAGGAGATGGTGCCTATTGCACCCAGGTAGCCTGGGGGGGTGGGAAGAGGAGCCTGCCCTAGTGCTCCCTGTGGGGTCTTGGGCACTGTCCCCACTGCCCCACAGTGCTGGACACAGCTCTGCTCTGTTCCTCAGTGTATTGTCACTCCAGGGTGTGATTAAAGCATGAATTAACCCTGCCTCTGCCTTCCATGGTTTGTTGGGGCTCTCCCAGCGATGATGCCAGGAGGAAACCCCCAGCCCCACAGCTGGGGTGTGGCTTTTTTTCCACGTGCTTTCAAGGTCCAGAAGTACGTTGCTGGTTAACTGTGCCAATGAGAGAACAGGTCTGTGGCACAATGAGTGCTCTTGTGCAAACAAATCTGTTACCTGATCTGGCGCAGGCAGCCCTGGTGCCTCACAGAGTTTCTGTGCACTTGTTTCCAGTGCTTCCCACTGTATTCCTTCCCAGATTTCTCTCAGCCCTCTCCAGCAAGACGTGCTAAAAAGGTACTTGGGTTTCCCACATCAGCTCTGCAGAGCTGAGCAAACTTGGTGGTGGCGCCGGTTGTGACATCAGCCAGGCATGTGCATTGGGGTGAGACAGCCCTGTCCCCTGGCGCCCATTAGAGTCCTGTCTGTATCTCTAACTGTGGAGTTATACAAACATTATAATTTTTGCATTCCTGTCATCTTTGTGGTACGATAAACAGCACGTGAGACACAGGTAACTCTATGTTGTTTCTGCTGTAGCTGGTTGTGCCCACATGGGTCATTCTGGAGTTAAAAGCAGGGAACAGCAGCAGCATTCACCCTTAGTAAATGATTCACAAGGCTGGTACCTCCAGCTGGGAAGATTTCCCAGGGCACAGCCCAGTTGTTACCATCCCTGATAGCCCAGGAATCTTTCCATCGTGCTCCAGAGCATGAAGCATCATCACAGCATTTCTTGCAGCCCTGCCACACGGCTAATTCCCCTGTCTCCTTCAGACCTCCATTTCACTGTAAACTCCTTTTTATTTATGGAACACAGGCTATCCCAAAGTAAATAATACACATCAGAGGATGTAAACCAAAGGGGATGACTGGCTCAAGCGCTGGATGTGTGATACAGGCCCGTGGCTTAAAGCACCTTCCAGAGAGGGAACGTGCCGTTTGAAGCCATGAAGAGGAGGAAAATCTGCTGGCTTGTTTTAGTGGTCAGCCAGTTTTGGCTCTTAAATGCCATATTTCTAAACTGAGCTTTACTTTTGCAGTCGCTGCCTCATGTTTTACCTTTTGGGCTCATCTTAACAGGTACTTGTGAAAATCCTGTATATGCTGCAATTTTTTGAAATTTCCAACATCTTTCAGATAAGATGGGAGATTTAAATCTGAAGGCTGGGAAAATGCATTTCATTTATCTTTTGGGAGGTATTTTCTGGGCTTTTCAATATGCTTTGAACTCGTGCTAGATGCGGTATTTTACTTTTAGTCTCAGCAATGTCTTAAAAGTGATAAAAAATATAACTGCTTCTCAGGCTTCTTTATCCAGGATGTCACTCACTCTTGTCCCTCGGTATGTAGTGTTGCTTGTCTACTTTGACCCTGCTGGGAGGCCCACCTGTTTATTCTTTAACCAACTATTTTGGGTGTGCAGGGAGCCCCAGTCCCATGGCAGCCCCTCTCCCCCTTCTCCAGGCAGCTCCAGTGCAAGCAGGCAGGAGCCTGGCAGCTCATGCCAGGGCAGGGAGGGGAAATACATCTGTCATGCAGAGCTGGGAATACAAGGGGGTCAGAGCAGAAAAGGAGGAGTCTTCTCAAGGAGGGATGCCCCCGAAAGGACCGGGGTTGAGGCTGGTGGACGTGAGCAGCAGCAGGTATGCAGGCAGACTGGTTCCAGGCCCTACCGCAGGGCGAAACAGCTTCCCTGTAAACAAACCAGCTGGCACCGATGTAACTCAAGAGGCTTTGTCTTTGTGTGTGTCCCGTGAGCATCTTTCAGGGGCACGGCAAGGTTTTGGGTGGTAAGGGGGACTGGCTATGTCCAGGTCCTCAAGTAGAAGCAGATGCATATGCATCTGGAGGTGGGAGTTGTGTATCAGGAATAAGTACGTGCATTATGGGGGCTGTGGTGGCATTGCCATGCTAGCTGATGAGCCAAAACCACTGTCGCAGGAGGGACCCTGGGCTGTCATGATTTCTGCCCTGAGCTCAGCCTGAGCAGAGGCCAGCTCTGCACAGCCCTGCCACCTCCTGCTCCACAGAGGGGCCGGCACTCAAGCATCAGCCTTCAACACGGTCAACTTCAGCAAGGCTTTATTATGTATTTCCATACACAACACAGGGACCGAGAACGGAACAAACCAGCACTGCTGGTGCAGGAGGTGAGTCGGTGACTGGGCAGCCAGACACCCAAACCACCATCTTCAGGGACATCCTGTTCGTAGCCGTTACTTCCTCAGGTTGCTGATGTGTCCCCCAAGCGTCCTTTTCTGGCACAATTTATGGGCACTTGGGGGACATTTTGAAGGGGCTATGGAAGAGAGGATTCACAGTGCGCAGTGCAGCGAGCTGAGCACAGTCACGCGTCTTCACAGAAATGCCCAGATGTGCAAAACAGCTGGTGTGCAGGCAGCTGCAGCCTGTCCATGTGTGCAGGTTGGGGGACCTGCGAGTAACCCCTAAAGCAGGGGTGCAGGCAGAGGCGGTGCAGCTTGGCGTAACTGCACGTGCACCGACGCAGATGTGCAGAGCGTCAGCAACAGTGATGGTACAAAACTGTCCAGCTCTGGCCTGTCCCTCCCTGTGTGTGCACAGGGGTCCCTGCTGGACCTGGGGTCAAACAGCCTGGAGGGGATGGCTCTTTGCTTCGCAGAGGATTTAGCACAGAAGGACCTGAGCTTAGTAACACCCTCTGAACTCTTGGGCAGATTAAAGGAAGTGATGCAGAGAGAGAAGGAAACAGCAGTTTAATAAAATCTACAGACGATGTGGAAGTGGCAGAAATGTAGAAATAACAGAGGTCCAGAAAAGAAAAACCAAAATGATGTTCCCATCCTTTGGGAAAATACTCCAAGGCTTCAGGGCAAAGGAAAGCCAGCAGGAGCAGCGCAAGAGCAGATGAATACAGAAGTGCCCTCACGTGAGCTGAGTGCATTGGGGTGGTGTGGTCTGGAGCTACAAAGGGATGAAGTCCTCATTGTCCAGCATATACCTGGTGGGGTTCGCTGATGCTGAACTCTGACACTACCTCCAGGTGTAACACAGACAGTGATTCTGCTGTTACTAAGGGAATGAGCTACCATCCTCTTCCAAATAAATTTGCTGCCAGGCACCAAAAAATGATAGCTCAGTCTTGTTCCACTACAGAGGAAACTTAGCAGATAATGAGCAAAAATAATGGCTGGGGCAGAGCAGCTCAGGTGAGAGGGAGATGGGAGCAGACAGAAAGATGAAGAGGAAGAGAAAGTTGTACAGGAGCAGCTTTGCTAGGAGGTTAGGATCTGTGTCTATGGAAAGAGCAGTGAAATGGTTCATGAGTCTGTGGAGAAATGAGAATTTTGACAGGTATATTAGCCTCAAGTGACAGGAAAATCTCTAGGGGGTGAGGTGTTAGTCTGCCTCTGGGGAAGGCACCTCAGTGATAGACACCTTGTAGAGATAAAACACCAAAATAGCTCAAGATAAGGCCCAAGTGGTAGCAGAAGAACTTTTCTGCCCCGCAGCAGCTGCAGCACTTGGGAGACAGAAACAGCATGGGAACACGCAGGGACTGGGATGAGCTGCTGTGCTTCTGCGGCAGCCGAGGTGCTTCTGCTCGGGAAACACCTGTTGGAGGGCAGCAGTGCTTCCCCCTCACACCGCCCCGGGGTTCCATCATCCCATCACTGTCCCCTGGCAACTGCACCTTGCTGTTTGTGTCTTGTGTGGCTGGAGCACAATGTTGTGATAACAGCCCCAACACACAGTCCAGCACCGATAACCCGTCAGGGCCCTGACACCAACACCCTCTGATCACTCCTTTGATAAACCATAGAAGATGCTGGGCTGCAGAAAGGTAATATTGGAACAGATTCTGGCATTGCAAATGCAAATGGCACTTCATGTGAGGTCCAGCCACGCTGGGGCTCTGGCACACAGAATCCCATGCAAATCCCATGCTCGCTCCCACAGACACACAGGTGCTTCCTTGGGAGCAGCCCCTGCAGCTGTAGCTCCCACTGAGCTCCCTTCACCTGCGCTGCAGGCCTGCTGACACACAGAGTATTTCCTGCCATTTATCAGCTGCTACAGGCTCTGCTTTGCTCTGGGGTCCTGCAGGCTGGGAGGGAGGGGGATGCACAGCACAGGGCATCACAACATGCTCAGCATGTGCCCACCTTCACAGGCTCAGAGGCATGAAGTGCTGGTCCCAGCTGAGACATGGGTCTGAGCTGGCAGCTCTGCACAGAGCACAGCGGGGTTTATATACCACCTGCAGTCGCAGCCTCTCCTGCCAAGAGAGCTCACGACACAGCCCCAGGAACTGCAGGAAGCAAGCAAGTACTGGGATCCCCAGAGGTACAGGACAGGCTCACCTTAACTCTGTGACAGGGGTCACAGCTGGGCGGGCAGCAGCTGTCGCAGGAGGCTTTGTGGAGATAAAACACCAGCCAGGCCCGTGCCGCGCTCCTAATGCGCCAGGTCACAGAGCCCTTCCAGGCACCCAAGTCCCTGCCGCGCCATCAGCCTGGGGCAAAGCGAACGCCAGTCATCTCTGAA